CGGACCACGTGTCAGGGGCGGAAAATTGCCACGGACCACGTGTCAGGGGCGGAAAAATGGCCGCGGACCGTGTCATGGGAGGGAAAATGGCCGTGTATCCTGTTCGTACCCTGAGGCGGTATTCGCAAACCGAGGCAAAATTTTGCGGCCGGAGCTGGTCATAACCCGAAAAGTTCGTTAACAGAACCGTTCGTAACCCGAGGTTCCACTGTATATTAATCTTTTCAAAAATAAAAGATGTATTTATATATGAAGCTCCTTTGATACTCTGTTTCATTAATGTATTTTTCCAGTCAAATGAAACTGCTTTTGAAATGCAACTAATCAAAAAAATAAGTTATTACAAGATTCTAGAAGTTACGTACTCCCGTCTTTCCAAAGAAGAAGTATATTCTAAAGATTCCAGAATTAACCAAGCTTTTCAGCGCTCTACCCACATAGAGGGGAATGAACTTACAAAAACACTTATAAAGTAAGAATTGTTCATTTATGCTTTAAACCAATGTTGCCAATAATTAATTTGATTATCACAGTCAGTAAAATAATATTTTGAGATACTGCCTTAAAAGAGTCATGGTAGCTACACGAGGGAGCAATATTATACTATTAATAATGATAAACTCTTAAACTCTTATTTATTTAGAAGATAATTCACATAATGTTTAAGAGGCTTATTTCTGTGTTAGTCTCAAAAGTTTATCCTCAAAATCTTAAAGAAGAAGATACGTTGGTTTCCCTCTTAAATTTTCTTAGTTAGATATCCTGTTCAGGCCACAAGATAAATTGAATGATTTTTTGTTCATTAATGTTTAGCATTTTTTGGCTGTTCTTTCAATTGTAAATATTATTTTGAAATATTAGCAGTTTATTGGCCTTTACAGCTATTTATGCATTACTTATTTTTATATATGTAAAATATACATTTCAGGTTACAGTGGAATTGCATGTTTTTAATTTCTTTGGAATAGCATTCCCCAAGATCCAGATAGCCTCTCCCTTGCTGGATTTCAAAAAGGCCATCAAAACCTGGCTTTTTCAAAAGGCCCTGGGGATGAGAAAGTTACAAACTGCTGCCCCTTGTAATTTGGAGACTCATGAATGTACAGTTTTATATTTTCCTCTGTCCTTGTCCTTTATATTATTTATGTTTTAGACTTTGTATTTTTTAGCCTTATTTATATAAGTAGGATGTGTAAGCAACTGAGGGTTAGTTTTGATTGTAGCAGCATATAAACCAAATAAATAAGTAGATCTCAGATCTAAAGATAGAGTGCAGCTTCAGTTTGGCATTTGCTGGAATGTATTACAGTGGGGCAAAAAAGTATTTAGTCAGCCACCAATTGTGCAAATTCTCCCACTTAAAAAGATGAGAGTAAATTCTTTAAAAATCAGACAATGTGATTTTCTGGATTTTTTTTCTCAATGACAGAGGTCAAACGTTTTCTGTAAGTCTTCACAAGGTTTTCACACACTGTTGCTGGTATTTTGGCCCATTCCTCCACACAGCAATGACAGAGGTCAAACGTTTTCTGTAAGTCTTCACAAGGTTTTCACACACTGTTGCTGGTATTTTGGCCCATTCCTCCACACAGCAATGACAGAGGTCAAACGTTTTCTGTAAGTCTTCACAAGGTTTTCACACACTGTTGCTGGTATTTTGGCCCATTCCTCCACACAGCAATGACAGAGGTCAAACGTTTTCTGTAAGTCTTCACAAGGTTTTCACACACTGTTGCTGGTATTTTGGCCCATTCCTCCACACAGCAATGACAGAGGTCAAACGTTTTCTGTAAGTCTTCACAAGGTTTTCACACACTGTTGCTGGTATTTTGGCCCATTCCTCCACACAGCAATGACAGAGGTCAAACGTTTTCTGTAAGTCTTCACAAGGTTTTCACACACTGTTGCTGGTATTTTGGCCCATTCCTCCACACAGCAATGACAGAGGTCAAACGTTTTCTGTAAGTCTTCACAAGGTTTTCACACACTGTTGCTGGTATTTTGGCCCATTCCTCCACACAGCAATGACAGAGGTCAAACGTTTTCTGTAAGTCTTCACAAGGTTTTCACACACTGTTGCTGGTATTTTGGCCCATTCCTCCACACAGCAATGACAGAGGTCAAACGTTTTCTGTAAGTCTTCACAAGGTTTTCACACACTGTTGCTGGTATTTTGGCCCATTCCTCCACACAGCAATGACAGAGGTCAAACGTTTTCTGTAAGTCTTCACAAGGTTTTCACACACTGTTGCTGGTATTTTGGCCCATTCCTCCACACAGTCTCATCTTTTTAAGTGGGAGAACTTGCACAATTGGTGGCTGACTAAATACTTTTTTGCCCCACTGTATGTATTAGTCCAGCAAATTAGCCCTGCTGTTGTTCAGATGTATTGGGAATTTCAATCCTAACACATCTACAGGGTAGCAGATTTGGGAAGAGTGTACATGATTTTCTTTAAAGTGTCTGCTTTTTTTTTTTTAAACTTCCTTTCAAGGTCCTGTTATGATGCCTTTACAGAAAACATGTCAGGTGAAACTCAGTTGTTGGAAAAGAGGAGACAGTTTCATTGTGCTGCATATAATTGTGCCATTGCTGTTATCAGCTGTGTCTTCAATGAAAGTAAATTCTATCAAGGTTTTCTGTTCACCGAAAAACCAGACAAAGTATGTACTAGTAAACAGATACTAGTTCCAAGATGAAATTTCGTTGTAGAATGGTGGTCAGCAGCCCATACAGTGGTTATGTTGACTGTATTGAGAGTTTTTAGACCCTGCCTTTGGATTTTGTTAATTTAATTTGTATTGGTTTTACAGGTAGTCCCCAGGTTAAGAACACCCGTTCTAAGGGCGACCCATAGTTAAGAACGGAGCCTATTGTAGCAAAATTCATGTTAAATACACAATGATTCAAGTTAAATACAGTGGTACCTCTACTTACGAACGCCCCTACTTACGAAATTTTCGAGATACCCAAAAATTTACCTCTACTTACGAATTCGCCTTGACTTACGAATTTTCCGCCCGTTCCACATGGTCCGCGGCCATTTTTCCGCCCATGCCACGTGGTCCGTGGCCATTTTTCCGCCCGTGCCACGTGGCCATTTCCCATTTTTCCGCCCGTGCCACGTGGTCTGTGGCCATTTTTCCGCCCGTGCCACGTGGTCTGTGGCCATTTTTCCGCCCGTGCCACGTGGTCTGTGGCCATTTCCCGCCCGTTCCACGTGGTCCACGGCCATTTTTCCGCCCGTGCCACGTGGTCCGCGGCTGTTTTTCTGCCCCTGACACGTGGTCCGCGGCCATTTTTTCCACCCTGCCGTGTGGTTAGCGGCCATTTTTCCACCCTTGACGCATGGTCCGCCAACGCCGGAAAGGGTTAATGGGAAATTAATTGAACCCTTTTGGAAAATTTAATTTGA